GCGCTGCAACGATGTCGATGACCAATAAGCACGATCTTGAAGGTTAGCTCGATGAGTGTCCATTAACTGAGTCAAAACCGGCTGCAGATCTGCAAGAAGACTGGAACCATGCACATGCCAGCGACGAGCAAGTTTGCGAAGTTGCGTGGTGAAACGTTGATGTAATAAGTCGACATCACCGAAGTACTGATCCTTCATTGATGCGGCCATGATTTCCATGTCAATGTCCGCATTGATGCGAGAAAACTCATCAACCATTACAGCATGACCATGTGCTCGGTGTATATGGTGATCATCGATGTCCAAACAGCGACACGGAAAGGATGTTTCAGGAGTCCATCTGCGCTGCCATGTGCGGTAGTTGTAGATCTTGTCGCCCAACGTGGCACTGCGAGTTTCCACCACCCGGATCTTTGGAAGGAAAAGAGAAGGGAACAAATCCCGATGAGAAGCAATCCAGCTTTGTAACCATGTGCCAAGTAGAGCTTTCCAATTCCGGACATGTAGAGGCGGTAGGAGTAGTTGTGTCAAAGTGGCGGGTGGTTGTAGCCGTCGTTTGCGCAACACCTGGGCGAGGAGTTTCTGCGCCTTGGAGCGGAAGGGCTCATTGACAAAGACGGAGAGCCGCAGAAAGTAGTACAGCTGAGTAGGAGGGAAAGCTGCCGACAGTAGGTCACGCATGGCTTGGAACGATGCTCCTGTATTGGATCCCAGCTGATAGAGAATAGAGTAATGGGCCTGAATGTCATCCAGCATGTCGGGTCGTAGTTGCCGTTGGAGATCCGGATGTAGTCGTCGTCGAAAGCGTTTGTGCAAGCTGAGGGAAGTGGGAGACGACAACGAGTGACGTCGAAAATCAACGAGGTGTTCCCGGAAGCCCACCTTTCGCAAAAGTCTGTGTACCCAGGGTGCATTCAAATGCGGGCGTAGCAAGTATTGCCATTTACTTTCTTGGACCCAAACCGAGGAAACGGGAAGTTTGATCTCAACCGGAACAGCACAGAAGAGCCAGTAAGTATTGGATCGCTTCCAGTAGTGAAGCGCGGGTTCGAAGAAGGCATGACGTCCTCGAAGTAGTTGTAGAAATTTGCGACTGCGTGAGTGTTCACGTCGTAGAACATCCTGATCAGTCGCTCCAACGTAGTAAGGTGTGTGCCATGGGGAAAGTCGGATGTAGACGCACGGTTGTTGATGATGACCTGGATCGTGTATGAAGTCATAGAGGTCAGGAAATCGTGCCCGCAATGAGCGAAGATGTCGCGTGTCGGCAAAAGTGGAGTGCATGATTTCACACAAGAGAGAAGCCTTGTAGAAGTGAAGGACTTCAAAGAACGGCGGAAAGTAGCCATGATCCTGGGAAATGAGACGTTGTAAGAAACTGATCAATAAATAGGCAGTGCACCGACATCTATGAATCTCATACCTGTTGGCCACAGTGTGCTGAGAGTGTGACATAGCGTGATTCGGAATCTGAAGGGCAATCCGGACCACAACTAAGACTTCGAGAATGAGGCTCAACCACGGTAGTTGTGTGATTGATTCGTACTCATCAGTTGGTATCGACGGTGGTGGTAGTCCAGGGAAGCAGTATTGCCAGCACGTAGAGAACATGGTCAACGAGTGTAAAAAGTTGTCCAGAGACTGCCACTGTGCAACATCATCATAGATTCCACAGCGGCGAAGCTCATCCAGCATGGTGAAACAATGAAATCTACCATAAGGCGGCGACATGGATACAAGCTGCACAGACAATCACACACAAGGCAATGCAAGAACGATCAAGCACAAGATCAAACTGGTGCAACGCAGAAAGATGACGGACGAGTTTTAACCTTGACTCATCCGTGACATGGTTGCCGCTCCGGGCTCATAAGAGAACGAAGGTCGTTAAGATGCCTGCTCATCCGCTGAGTAGGCGAGCGGTCACGATGAGGTGACTCAATGCCTTCTCAGTGAGCTTGGTAAGATAGCCGGGCTCCAGTCCCCACGAAGCCGCCATCGCCCCGAGAGTGGGTGCGTCGCCTTTCGGCATGCGTTGACGCGCTTGAAGGAGCTGCGTCGCCATGGAATCTAATGACTTGTTGCCGTTGAGCCGGGACGGGTGATTGGCCCACTTGACCAGTGACGCCAAAGTCGTGGTTGTGGGCGATTGCTTGAGATAAAGGCGAGGCTGGTCACTGGTCCATGTGTAGTACTTGACAACTTCATCCGGCGTGCTGTGCATGGTGAGCAATTGTGACGCCGCCGGCTTGGACGGCGGTGACGACACTCCGTGAAGAGACTGAATGATCCGGGGTTGCACCGCGCTATCAAACGACTTGCCATCAAGGGCCGCTGCGCTGGCTGTAGGAAGGGAGCTGGCAGGTGACGAGGATGGTGTGTGGTTGACCGGTGGCGGTGTAACCAACTCTGCATCATCTTTCTGGCTTGCCATCGTGGGAGAGGCCGAAGCGCGCAGCGATGCGGAATACTGAGCTTGGAGCAGTTCGTGCGCACGATTTAGATCATTGTACTTCTTGACCATGTCATCTGTCTGGGTAGAAGGTGTGAGAGAGGTGTGATGTTGCTGAAGAAATTGAAGTACCAAGCTGGCCAAATGGTCATGAACCTTGATCCGCTGATTGAAGTCATCGATGTTGAGACCCAGCGAGTTGGCAAGGTCCTTTTCCAGGGTGAGCAAGTTGAGCGACTGTGATCGTCGTAGTAGTTTGGAACAGGTACTCCAAAGTAAGGCCTCGGTGCGAGTGCGAAAGCCTTCCCACGTCACGAATCTGCCGTGAGCGAACGGTCGGAGTAGCCAGTTGGTGAGGCCCCCATGGATAACCTGAACCAGGCGAACGTCCCGAATATCCATGCCTGACATGTCGCGCAGGTTGCCATGCGGAGTGTTGGCAACGGTCATGGGCAGGCTAAAGTTGTAGAGCTGATTGACATCAAACATGCCATCTCCAGGTGTCCAGTCAGGCGAAGGTGTAAGCCAGGCTTTCTGAGGGCGAGCCGGCAGAGCCGCAGGAGGTCCAGGTGGCGGTGTAGGTTGGGTAGTAGTGACCGGTGGTGGCATCACGGGTGGCATGAACTTCGTTGGCGTGGGGTCTGGAGGGATCGGCATCATGTAGTTGATCGCTGGGTGTTGGAATTGCTGTGTGGGGCTGTGAGTCGATTGAAAATTGGTGGGCATCATCGGGAAATTGCTGGCAGAGTTGTAGCCGGAATTGTGTTGCCAAGATACCAGGTTGTTCCAATCCATGCCCTCAGAGACCTGGTTGTCATTGTGTTCACGTCGGCGTGCTTTACGAGCTTGAGGGGAAGGACTCCGATCACGTCTGCGCCGAGTCCTAGATCTGTCAGGATCATCACGTTGAGACATGACGGCGCAACAAACTCAAAACCGCAACTCCACAATCTTGAGAGGAACGAGTCCGACAAAATGCAAGTCAATGCAAGTTCAAGTCAGCAGCCATCAGCAGCACTAGTGAGACGTCTCTATGATCTGACGGCTGACTTCCCTTTAGTGAAACCTCGTTCCTGGTTAAATGTGAAATTCCGCTGTTCTATGATAAGTACGTTGAGGTCAAATTTTCCGACAGAGCCGGCCCGGGGTCACACAATGGGTACACCCGAGGATTCCCCACGAATGGGGTGTACACACTTGAACTCCAGATGGAGAGTGCTAATCTTTCGAGTACAACTGATGAGTTTCGAGTACAACTGATGAGTCTCGAGTACAACTGATGAGTCTCGAGTAGGTGAAGGTTCGGCTTGTATTCACATGGTTTCCGTCTAGCTGCGAAAACGTTAAAGGTTCAACATGAAGCACACACAGCGAGAGAAACAACGGGCCAAATGGACATTGCACAACCGATGCAGGTACACAATCCAGCGTCCCGGATTGCATCACACTTCTCATCAGGCGTCTTCGTTGGCCTGAGTCCTGATGAGAAGCCTCAAGCCCCCTGCTGAAAAACCGAAAGGGTGGTGACAGGGCATTCTGTCACTCCGCACACACACACACACACACACACACACACACACACACACACACACACACACACACACACACACACACACACACACACACACACACACACACACACACACACACACACACACACACACACACACACACACACACACACACACACACACACACACACACACACACACACACACACACACACACACACACACACACACACACACACACACACACACACACACACACACACACACACACACACACACACACACACACACACACACACACACACACACACACACACACACACACACACGCAAACACACGCAAACACACGCAAACACACGCAAACACACGCAAACACACGCAAACACACGCAAACACAAACACCAACAAACACACAAACACAATCACACACACACAAAAGAAAACACACACACACAAACGCAAACACGCACAAAAACACACACACCCACACACACCCACACACACCCACACACACACACAAACACCCACCCACGCACGCACGCTCCCACGCACAAACACACACACAAACAAACAATCAAACAAACAAACAAACAAAAATAATACACACACACACCACACACACACACACACCCACCCACCCACCCTCTATCGTGACCCTCCCTCTCCGCGGGAGCCCACCGCAGCACACACTGTGAATTGCAAAGCAATCGTGGCCAAGCTTCAGATTTAGAACTGGACTTGGGCAACATGCAACAATAAGTGAACCTGGCACGTCATTCTGCACACACTGCAACATATGCGCGTAGTGCAAAGAAGATGCGGCAAAGAAGCTGCTCGATCGAAGCAACGGCGTATCCAGAGAAGGAAACCTGGGATGGAATCCCGAACCGACCATAGCAGGAAGAAGACAGGCCTATGCAAGGCAGGCCCTTGTTTCGACCCATCGTGCAATATCTGTCCGAGCTGCGCAAAGCAGCAGCCAGCGAGTAAACTCGGTGCGTGATTCGAGCGAGCGCATGTGCATCGGAGGGCCAGTTCAATCTGACCGAGTCTGACCTGCCTCATCATCCACCACGAGCGCAAGCCATGAGGACCAAATGTAGGTAGCTGTGCCTGTGGGCCAAGGGAAAGCCGGCGAGGTCGCGAGGTCCTTTCCATTTCGCCAGGTCACAGCGCGCTGAGGCCGCCAAGGGAGAACTCAGGAATCTGTCGCCCACAAGGAGAGGGAGGTTAAGAACCATGTTGACCTGCGCTGACTCTAACTTGCGGCCCCTCAAGGTGCGCACTGCATGCCTGCCCCATAAAGCCGCTTGCCACCACTTCCTGCTGGTCAGCCTCGGATTTCAGCTGTCCTGGCAGAGGTCTCATCGCGCAGTCACATCAGTGAACTGGTGCTGTCCCAACATATGTTATCTTCGCTGTGCATGGTCATGTCTCTCGTACACCTTTTGCTTGAGGTGCGTCTGAGTGATGGGACCGAACAGGCATTGGAAGGAAGAAGCGATGCGATGCGACTGTGTCCAGCCAGTCAAAAGTGCAGCTACCTGGCCTTCATCGTGACCGCCCGCTGACACAGCCATCAGCAGTGGCATGCAAATGCTCCACCTGCAGCTAGTACATGGCTTGCCCACTACCAGTGCACAAGCATCTAGCTAAGCCACTCTAAGTATCTGAGCGTGTAGACTGGCCGAGCGCCACCGGCAGCAAAAGGATCAGTGTGGACCCATCTCGGTGCAAGGTGGCACTCAGCAATGCTCCAGAAGTCATGCGCAACACAATCTCAACATGTCGCCCAAGCGGCTGGTTGCCCGAAATGGCCATCTTGAAATAGCTGACAGACAAACAGACATACACCTTGGGCATAGCAAGGCAATCCAAAAAAGACTTGCACACTGAGCATGACTGAGCTGACAGATCTGCCAAGCTGCAAAAAGCATTAACTTGGAATCGTCGCCCGTGACACCGGGCGGAAAACTCTTCACACTGACGGAGCCTTGGCTACCAGCCGTCGACGCCCAGCCCAGCAATTGCATTCTCCAGGTCCAATCGGATACTGGCACGGTTGTTGTGCTTCAAAGAACCCGTGTGCCTGACATTCTTTCCAGGCTACCCATACCACCAGTCCGGGACAGTGTTTGATTGTACCGCAAACCTGTCATGACAACCTACCATTGAATCAGACGCGGGGCTCGGCGCTGGCCTACAACCTGCTATTCATCCTTATCAGACTGGAGGCTCAAGCTCCGTGGTCCACAGTTGCTGCCGCTGCTGCTGCTGCTTGCTGCTTGCTGCTGCTGCTGCTGCTGCTCCCTGGCGACTTCCGGTTTTGAAGTCTGCCTGCATCAGGCCTTTCTCGGCTTGATCGTTTACCACAGCTCAGAAAGGAGTTAACCAGTCTTGCCCTCGCTCATCCACGGGCTAGTACTTGCACGGCAACGGCTTGAGACTGGTCTTGGGCTCAGTTGGCGCAAATGGCTGGCTTGGCCGGAAATCATGTCTTGCCAAACTTGAGTTTAACCCTGGACTTAACCCTTGTCCAACCTTGGGCCTAACCTGGGTCCAAACCCTGACCGAACCCTGATTATTTTCCTCATCCACTCCCTGACCTGAATCAGGGCTTCAAAAGAAGAGTCCGTCTCTGAAATTGTGGCTCAAGGAGAATGACCCTGAAGTGCGAAGCAACGGTAGATCAGAAAGTTTAAAGTGCGGAACAGGTGGCCACCAGCATATATGTTCTGCAAAGCTGAATATGAACCAGAATGAAGAAGCAACAGAAGGCAATACTTCCAAAGAAGCAAATTGAACTAATGGCAAGGTGGAATGCAGGAAATAAGTTCAAATAGGGGAAGCCCGAAACTGGGTGGTTTCCTTTTGGTCTCCCTTTGCCAAATACTCCCGCGGAAAAGTGTACTGAAAGATGGTCTCCGTCGGAAATGGTTTGGCGGGCCATGGTTTGGCAACGCCCTGCATGGGAGTCCAACTGGCACGCCTTCCCGCAATATGCTTCATATACTCTCGCACCGATATTCAAACAAAATCACATCCTGGCAAAGCCTTCAAGTTTCCTAACGTCCTATTCCTTCTCCTTTGCCACAAGCCCCTCAACCCTCCTACTTTTCCACCGGCTGCCGTGTGCTGATTGGTGCCGCAGTGTTCTCATGATGGCCAAATGCTTGTCATTTCTGCCGCATTCGATTTGCGAACAAGTTGGCAAGCATCGTTGTACCCAAGATGATTTCTTGGAGAAACATGATTGTACTTTACCAGCAATGTCCAGAGCCGAAGGGAGGGGGGCGGGGCGGAAGCTTCAAGCTATAAGGGCCATAGTTGGAGCATGTTTCTGCTCCCTTCTCCATATATCTATGCATTTGTACATCCATCTCTATATATATATACAGATTATATATATATATATCTCTCTCTCTCTCTCCCTCTCCCTCTCTCGCTCTACTCTCGCCCCTTCTCTTCTGTATCTTTCTCCTCCTCTCTCTCTTTTCTCTTCTCTCCGTTTTTGTCTCTTTTCGCCTCTCTCGTTTTAGCTTTTCTCTTTTTGCTTTTCTCCTTCTCATACGCTTTCTCTTTCCCTCTGCCTCTCTCCCTCTCTCTCTCTTACTCTCTGCTCATGCCTCTTTCGCCGTCTCCTTCTCTCCCTCTCTCTCGTCCTTCTCTCGCGCTTTCTCTTTTTTTGTCTTTTTCTCCCTCCCTCCCTGCGCAGAGGGTTCGCCTTCGGTCGTGGAAGTGAAAAGCGTACAAAGCAACGAGGTGCTTGAGGTCTACGGAGGGTTGCGCGAGGGAAGTGAAAATTGCAAAAGAAAAACGCAAAGACTCTACGTGCGCGAAAGTGGGAATGGCCATGGGAATGCGCCCCGCTGCAAGACCTCCTGTCGCGCCTTACGACTGAGGTGGTTTGCGCTCAGCTCCGAGGCTGCGCATAGGGCCAAGTTTTCGGCTAGCTTCTATTCCCCAGTCCGAAAACGCGTTTTCGAAGCTGTTTCACGCGCAGTGCATCTTGAAGATCACGCGCAGGGCACATGCAGCGCATGCATTCTTAGAGGGAGCTACAACAGTTCCTTCTGAACTTCGATTGGTCATTCCAACAAACAACACCACAATAACAAAACCAATTATGCAGCACCTTGCGTTGATTCCACCTTCAACTAAGGGGTTAGATGGCATAAACTTTGTTGACAGCGCGGGCGTTCAAATTCCTGCATGTGCGGATTGAGCGCTTTCAAGTTTGGCGTCAGCTGTAACAAGGCATTGGGTGTGTTCCGATGTCGCCTCCGGGGACATTGATCTCATCACCCAAGTCCAGGAAACTCTGGCGTTCTTCCCAGTCGCTGCTGGTTTGGGACGAGGAAGTGGCAGCAATTGCGGACAGGGTGCCGTACTCGACAAGTATGGCCAAAAGCTCAAAGACCATGGCAGTTCCAGCCATCACCGAGGCAATGACATATGACCAGCCGATGCTCTGGACTGCTTCCTGATGGCATCGCTAAGCTTGCCCGCTCTTACAAGCAGGAAGCTGAGTCTAGGGCGCTTTCGTCAAACTGGTAAAGTGGAACGATTTCTGCATAGAACAGTGCCCAAATGCAAAGGACAATCGTCAGGAGCACCGTCAAGTCATTCCAGGTTCCTGATTTCGGAGGCCGCAACCCACATCCAGCCGCGGGTGTTTGCGGGTTTGCAAAAAGTATTGGGCGTCTGGATTCAGACTAGGTTCTGCACAAGTACAAAGCAAAATTCAGCCGCGGCTGTGACCGCGCAGGTGAGGCATCCATGCGGAACACAGTGGGGTACGCCTCAGCGCTTGCCGTTCTGCCAGGCACTTCCGGAAGTCCAAGTGCCAGGCGGAGCACTTCCGGGCCAATAACGGAAGTGCTCCGGGATCATGTTTTTGAGCAATATGTGCTGCAAAAGGTGCCACGTGCTATGTTGTCCGCACACTATTTCAAACGTCAGGGTGTGGTGTGGACTGGACCTGTGCCCCGAACACTGGAATAACTCCCCAAATCATGCTCTGCGTGGCAAGCAACCCTCCCACATGCACACGTTTTCGGCTGTGGGAGCGCCTAGAGGCCCTAGTGCCTGGTTGCTGTACCCCTTGCGCTCGCTGATCGGGCCTGGACTGCTCCATCAAAGCCTCCACCAGCACACCTCACAGGGCCACAGGGCTTCGCTTTACGCAAGTGCCAGGCCTTCGGTGTCCCGCTTGTTGCCAGCTTGCGAAAGCAGACTGACCTCGAGACAATCTCCAAGCCCTCCCAAAATGCCGAACAGGGCCTGGGCCTGTAATCAAATTCATCCAATTCCATATGTAGCTCAGCTTGGCACGTAGAAGGAATCTCCGTACTCTCTCTGCATCCACGCCTTTCCACTGCAAAACTCCGCATGTTGCTCCAGCCCACAGGGACGCCACCGTTTTCAGATCCAACATCTGTGCTCTTGCCGGGGCATGGCTTGCTTCTTTCATTGCGAAACAAAAAAGAATGGCTTGCAGCAAGGTGTGGGTTGATGCAGCGTTTTGGTATTCAAACACGTGGCATTTCTAAACGCATGTCGTAATGGAACAGGCTGTTGAGAGCTCTGGATGCTCCAGGAGCCCTACTGGTGTGGCATGAATTAGCATGTGGCTCCTGTCGGGTCATACTGCCTTTGGCTGAGCATGCGCAGGTCGGCTTTGGCTCTTCCATCTGTGAAGGGCGAAGGTTAACGCACGGCTCGGTATAACTGTATTGAAATTGCAATTCAGGTGAGAGATACCCCCTACACTCCCCAGTGTTGACTCTCATTTCATCTTTGGTTCAGCTTAACTCACTGCTGACATGTGCCGTTGCCGTCGTCAAATGGCATGCAGCCGCATCGGTGATGCCGCAGAAGTATGCTTATGGCCCGGTCGAACATTTACATGGGCGCTTGCCGTTGATGGGATGTTGGTTGAGGCCCTTGCGCTCCACGCTGCTGGCCAGTTAAAGAATCTCACCATGCTTGATGATTGAGCCTATTGAAGTCATAGGAATGTTTACTTCTCTGCTTCCTCGCCCCTGCACATGCATGTTCCTGCTTTTGCTGCTGCTCCTCTTGTCCTTCTACTGAGTTTGTGAGTTTCATGCCGCGTTCCTTGCAAAGTGTTGCAGCAAACAGAAACGTGATGAGCCTCAACGCAGTCAAAGTCAGCTGGCAAATTAACAGCGCGAGTTGTCTTGTCACCCCATCAACCTTCACACATGCCAAGGATTCCAATATGTACATCCATGCAGTGTGAATCAAATATGACAACTTCATACGGAAAATCAATGTGACGTTTGCGGCCTCATGCTTCTGGAAGCCCAGGCTGGCCAACTCGAATCCTGCAAGCAGTGCATCGGAAAAGCGGTACTTGCAAGATGCCAACAGCATCTGTCCTCGAGTCACAGTGACGTTGGACCCAGATGACCGCTGCTCCCAAAACACGGGCGCACTGCCTCGCACCTCTGCAGGCACTGCAAACCCCGTCGCACGAGGGGTGCACAAGTTTGTGTCGCTTGTTGAGGCAAAGGGGGAACAGCTCGACGTCCATGGGTCTCGGGGATGCCAAAAAAAGGTGCAATCTTGGCCCAGCGTGGCTGTCTTTTTGTGAAACGGCCACGGCAGCTGGCGCAGCCCTTGATAGTCTGAGTATTTGCTTCTCTTTTGAGAGAAGTCAAAGGCTTGATTTGCTGCTTGCAGGCCTGATGCCCCAGCTAAAAAAAGCTAACGAGCCCAGCACACGGAGGCACCAGGACAAACAACAAACTCTTCCCTGGTTGCAGGCCCACTGCGATAGCAATGCTTGCGTTGTTCAACTGGCACCAGTGGGAGAAGTACCCAGCTTTCCCGAGTCGCTTGTCCGCCTGCGTGAGCGCGAGCCAGTGCTCCTTGTTCCCCGGCAGCTTTACGAGCATCTCCGTCTCCACCCAGTTGGCAGCCTACGCACAACGCACCTTGCGCCCGCATGGCTATCTTATACGCCTAGCATCGGCATTTGTTCCATTTGTTCGTGTTTTTGAAGAAATGCATGCGATGCATTCGCCACTCGCGCCACATGCGCCGCATGCCGTCCCCGGGACGGCTCCGCTTTGAGCTGCCTCGCCGTCATCGTCCAACCCCCGGGCGTTGTAACGCGTCCCCGCATGGCGCCGGCTCCTGGCGAACTGGTCGAGGCGGTCGAAGCACCAACGACACCAACGAGAGCAAGTCCTGCGCGCCAGCAGCACCAGCAGCAACTTGCCTTCAGGTCCAGGGAGTTCCTGACACTGAGCAAATCCTGGCATTGGCAGGCACGACTCGGTACGACTCGGTACGACATTCCGAGTTCTTTCTTGACAAACAGTGCGTGCAGCAAGCAGAAAGTCACGAGAGGGTCTCTCTCTCCTTGCATCACCTTTGCACTGTGCCATCTTCATTGCAAGGAGCACTGGAAAACACGCAGCATCCACTCACAAGCATATCATGCCAAGATGCAGGTGTAAACCAATACTCTGAAACGCCCTGTGCCAGAAATGCGGCACACAGGCTGCTATTCCACACGAATCGAGGGTCCACAGTGGACCTGGGTTTCCATTCCCAACTCGCCCCAGCCAACGCTCTTCAGCTTTGCTTCCAAAAAGAAACCCGATGTAGGTTGACGTGCCCGTGATCGCAAAGCACTATGTATCATGCCAGGTTGCATTGAGGGAGGCTCCGCAACTCTCGCGTTTTCCTGTGAACTCGAGCCAAGCGACTCTCTGGTGAATGTGCATCGTAACAGTGCAAGACCGAATCCCGCATCCCGTGCTTCAGAGGCTCTACTCGCCACTGCAGGCGTCGAGTGATGTCGAAGTCGCCGGAGAAATAAAAATTGTCCTCGAGTAGGGTCAACACCTCAGGCAAACTACGGAAGTGCCAAGCGGAGGGAAGCACTGGTTCTCAGGTCAGAGTCGGTCAGAGGGTTGTGCCAAGATGCGCCAGGCAAAGCTTCACATGCTTCCCCTGGCATGTCGCAATCCGTCCGATGAGTCCGATGCGTATGCGAGCTGTCTTAGATCTCTGCTGGCCCTGTGGTTGTTTGGAGCCAAGTGGCTTGCAGGCTCTGCAAAGGGTATGCACTGGCATTTCTGGATTCTGTAGACGGACTGGCCATTAATCACCTTGCGCAGGGTCGGTCTCATGGTCAGTGGCTGACCAAGGTCAAGTTGAGAGTTGAGACTCAAAAAAGGTTTCGCAGAGACTTCAGCAAAGCATCCATCATTGCGGCTTCTGTGACCACTAGAAGAAAATACTCCTCGCAAGGAGTGAGTTGTGGCACTGGACGCAACGTACATTTGGGGGTTTTCTCGGACCATCAGGTCTGTCTCTGTCTCCGTTAGCGTGTCCTGGTGGGTGCTCACCAAGCCAAGCACCGCAAGGCAAGCCACTGGCTTGGCCACTGTGCCAGCGGACCTCAGCTCTGAGTGTTGCGATATTCCGCGCCGCACCTTGGCCAAGAAGCAGCTCCGAGAGCTTCTTTTGGAAGCCGTCTGGAGTGTCCTCGAGTCAAAAACACTTATGGAATGCGAGCATTTGAGCAATGGATGCAATACTGAATGCTGAGAAACACGTGAATACTATTGAATGCTCCTGGCCCTCGCGAGCAACTCCAGTCTTGTTGGCAATGCCCAGGAACCTGCTGGAAACGCTGTAGCAGACGTAAGAACCACGTACCAAATGCGGCCAAGTGACCGTACGTTTTCTGGTCGGTGACCAACTCTATCCTGGAACTAAATGCGAGCTGCAGCTTCACTTTGCTTACAACTTCTGAGAAAGCAAGCTCTGGAATCGGCAATGCGGCAATGCCGAGAGGCGGGGTGATCCGTAATGATCAACAAAGATCTGGTGGAATAAATCTGCCATCGTTGTGCAGCTTGCTTGCACGCTGGAGACCTTTCACCACCATCCATGGCAGCAAAGGCCCCTCCTACATGTCAAAAGTGGCTCATTCACTTATAGGAGCCATCGCTTGTTTTACATCTAAATGTGCTGTCCTGCTGTCTGATGTCTTCACTCCTAGACTCAATGTCTGAATCTGTTCAAGTACCCTGAAAAGCCAAAAGCTGCAGCCAGTTCCGTGACTTGACGCAAACCAGCTCCGTACTTGTTGCAGGCAATGTCATCCCCGTCCTGGGTGCCATACTTCTTGTGGGTGTCCTTACAGCTTGCCCTTCGAGCAGCTTCCCCCCGCAAGTGCTGCCAGGGCACCGCTCCCCAACCATTCCTCGGCAATCGAAACGCGTTTCAATCACAAGCGCATCGCTGTGAAGGTGGCAGATGCATGGTTCAAAGGTCGAAACACGTCGAAACAAAGCGCGCGTTGGGCTGTCACTCCCTTCTGGCATATCATGTGATGTTGTGTCTGGCGTGGCGCTCAGTGCCAAGACCCTGCAGCTGCTTGCGACACGTGCCCAATGCCGCCAATGCCCAAAGAATTCGATGTCGGGAATGCGTTCCGAGCACGCGGAGCTTGGGCGATGCTCTGCAGCACCTTTGTCCCTGTGGCATGCGGACTGTTGGAAAGCTCCTAGCCACTGGCAGTGTCTTCAGCCATCTGCGCAGAGCTATCAATTCATCGCAGCAAAGGGCTCCCAATATTTGCGATATGTCCGATAGGCAGTGCTGCAGTGAGCATCCTAGCCTAAAGCGCGAGAGAGAACGGCCCATCCCCATTCCAATCAGCCCGCCAAGTCGCCGCTCTGCTGTGACCCGAGCCGCATCAAGCAGGGCACGTGCCTCGCTCGGCCGCAGCAGATCGTCGAACTCCACTACCTGAAGCGGAGCTCTAAGGCCGAGGTGAGTGACCGCACGGACTCCCCTCTTTTGCAGCCGAAATGCAGTATCTAGAATCAAATCGCAGTTGCAAGTGTTCAGGGTCAGCCTGCAGGCTTGCACAGCTCAGGCAGTAAGCGCATGCAATTGCAGTCCCTTTGCAGGCCCTAACTCCTTTTGCTGCATGCAGTCACGCTGCATATCTGTAGTGGCTGCCGGTGAGGGCCTTACACTCTGTGCCCACCCGAAAAAAGAAAACATGGCCACGCGACCCATCTCGTCTCCTGACTCAGGCCTCTGCGTTGGCTCCTCAAGAGGGGCATGTGTCAGTTGGGACTTGGCTCTCTCTTCAAATCCGGACTGTGGCAAGCCGTATTGCCGCACAAGCAAGCCAAACGACAATGCATTCGTGCATTCAGCATGTGGCGTCACAAGCTAGACCCGCTAGACCTTGGGCTGTACCATGACAACATCAATGAACAGCAGCAGCGTGCTAGTGTAGACAAGGGCTGCGCGAAAAGGATGGGCAAAACATTAGATTCCGTACTGACATTCTTGTCGGAAGGCACTGGCGGAAGGCCCCGGCCTTCCGGCGACGTCTCAGGCGCTTGGTCTCCGTCTCTGCCGCGCGTGCCACGCGCACCTGGCAGCTTTGAGCTGTCGCTCCAGTCGCCACAGCCCCGCCCAGCAGCCTGTCTGCATACCCAGGAAGCCGCGACGGTCGCCAGCAGCGCCTTCCAGCGCAATATCGTGACATGTGTGGCGTATCGTGGCGTCCTCTTGCCTCCGCAGGTCGCCTCCTTGACTCGAGCCGTGCAGACGCGGTCGGGCGGGAGACAGCTGACAATGAGCCTGTGAGCGGGCTGTGCCCACTCAAACAAGTGCATGTTGAGAGCGGGACTTGTCTGCCAACTCGTGCAGGGCAAGGTGCCTCCAGTGCGAGTCGTGCACACATGTCACAATGTGAAGCCAACCCAAACTTGACAAAGTGCCAGCGACAGAAAGTGCCATCTTCAGGACTAGCCCCTGCAGCCGTGAAGGCTGCGGTGAACGAGCGATCAGGGAGGTGCAACGCACATCTGTGAAGCAGGCTCCTTTCGTGCGGAATCTGTGCAGAAAGCTCCAAATTGTAGACAGCTGCTTTTCTGACATTCCAACTCGTGCGCTAGGCATAGTGCCCAGCAGTTTCTTCGCATATGGGGTCCATCACCATGAATTCAGCTTTCGCTCCATGCAACTGCTTCATGCAACAGGGGCCGGAAGAGCCAAGGCAGGATTCCAGCCGGCTTGATTGCCCACTACATCCTGACCTTCTTTGCCAAGGCAATGCAGTTCTTGAACGTGCGAGACTCTTCAGAGCGCATCTGCCACAAAACCTTGTCAACAGGATCTTTTGAGTGCCGGAAGTCATCCGCGGTGTTGGCGTCCATAGTCTCCTGAAGTTCAAGCTGCATTGTTGGGGGAGGAGGAGACAACAGCGGCTGCTGGACATTGCTCTCCCTTGAGCAGAGTAGACGTTTTGTTGCCTTTGTCCCGCTTCTTGCCAGCAAACGTCCTTCAAGCGCTGTCGCATGTACTGACAGTAGTCCATGATGGCACGGTTCACTTCGGCATCAGCTTGCGTCCATGCCAGCCAGTCCGACTTCCTGAGCAGAAATCGTTAGCTCATGTCAGCATCAGTCATACTTTGGCCCAAGCGTCGTATATTTTTCCGGCGGCGGCCATTTGTTGAGATCGCGCATGCGATTCTTCAGCGCTGGTGAATACCAGCCATTGCCAATGAACCAGGAGATACGGTAGCATCGCACAAATGACCGCATGGGATAGCCTGCAGGGTGCAGGCTCGAGGCCACAAGTCTGCAAGGAAAGTCAAAACCACGAAATGACCTGAGCCACAACCTAAAAGTTGGACCGCAGGTGACCTTCACGATTGAACCGCAGCTCGAATGACTCCAACGTCGAGCAGTTGTATAGATCGTACTCCTAGTCTTCGTGTCATGGCTTCTGCAAATATGGCGGCCAAAGCACATCTCAAACCTTCCAACAAATGCTTTACTCAAACAGCATGACGCGGTTGGTCTCCTTGCGGCTCTTCGAGTTCTTGCTGTCGGTCCAGCTGGGCGGCTGAGTGACGTTACGTCCAATGCCAATGGGGTTCTCAGTGAGGCTGAAGCCATGCCTGGCTCACTGAACGCAGGAAGTAAGCCCCTTCACAAAAGGAGACATGCGGGACAGGCGCCTGGCAATCATCTCGCTGCTGGACAGCCGTCCCGGCCACACAAAGATCTCCTCACCCTTGGGCATGTCCCTTCGCGCGATTTGCAGCACGACATCCTCCTCTCGCTTGCCCTCGATGATGATCTCCTCTTGGAATCCGATCGCCACCCCGGGGTTGGCATGCATTGCTACCTCCAGAAGCTCGCGCAAAGGAAATATGTACATACCTTGGGAGCTGCCCGCAATTCACTTGCAAACCTGCGGTTGACAATGCCCGATCCCAGAAGTTCTAAAGGTCTTGGGCAAGGATCGTGGGTCTCGCACATCTCGCTGGTCTTGGTATGGGTGCACTACGCGCCCGTGGCGCATTATCACTGCCTGACCCCGAAAGTGGGCGAAACAAGCTGATGTTCAGGCAAAACGCAGATTGAGACAGCAGAGTTGCTAGGGCCCATGATGCTTCATCCAGGGAAACGGGTTTCCTTAGTTGACCGCTCTGCCACAGACCAAAACACCCTGGCCCTGCCGAGCATCTTCTTGAAGAAGGTCAGGTTCGAGGCTGCCTGCTGGATCAAATCCCTCCGGCTCGCCATTTCCTTGGGCCCCCAGGCAAGCACTCCCTTTCGAAGGAAGCAAAACACGGACGCTAAGGAGGCACTCACGAGATTGACTTTGTTTTTTGACGAGACACCTCCACTGCCTCCTCTACACTGGTGCCCACCAATACCTTCTGCTGGCGATGCGTCAGCTGCAAGGCGAAGACTTGCTCGTTGCGAGTTGCGTTCAGCCTCAGCATTGGCCCGCCTTTGCGACGCATGGCTTGCCTCTGGCCAGCGAGCTGAATCTGATTCACATATTTTGCAGTACAAGTCTCCAATCCACAAACACAGATTCAGGATTACGCCTTTCGGCTATTAGCGTGTATGCAAGACTGAGCAGGTGGATGTGATCCTCGCCTAGGCTCGCACAACTAGTTGTCTGTGCGTCTGTGTCACAAAAACTCACCAATTTGGTGCAGGGAACTTGTTATGTTGAACTCCTTCTGCAGCTTCCTTGGTTCACAACTGCACTCTGAGTCTTCCATCTGCACACTCATGGGGCAGTGCGACAAGACGCGAGAGGGGGACCTCCCCAGAGGCTTTTTAGGATTGGAACCGTGTGCGCAAACGGTTCAGAATGCCACAACGTTAAAACGCAAGCAGAAACTGCATCCTGCGCCACCTTCCACTTTTGGCACTCGATTTGAAGCAAATAAATTCGAATCTAGAGATCCTGCTCCCATTCTTTCCTTACTTACATTCTATCTTATTTAGATAAATCCGAGTTAAAGGATTGAACAAATCCCTCTGAGGAAAGGACACCGTCTTTAAAGCTGAATTTGAACATATATAATTCCAATTAAAATCTGATTGACATCCTGTTCAAAAAGAACTCATACTGAAGGTCCAACTAGGATTAGAAGGCTCAGTCTTGATTGGAAAGAAACCCCCTTTTCAACATTTGAAGTATGATTTCTCATTTAAAACGGGTTCTCTCAGAGTTGCGCAGGGTGCTGCAGCAAGGTGCTGCAGTCTTAGCAAATCCAGCTCTGAGAGGCGACGCGTTCAGCGAATCCACCAAAACTCCAGCAAGTGAGCCAATGTTGCACTCTTGTCATGCAGGTTTTGGCAAGCAAATTGCCGGAGGACTCTGTTGTGAGAATGATTTTGGCCGCTCTGCCGGGTGGCGTGGCGCGCGTGTCACTGGAATGGGCATCTTTAGTTCGTTGGCTGACAACTCCTTGCTATCTAGGGTCTATGTTGATTTATTTGTTTGAACAAATCTTGGAAGTTTGTTCCAAACCAAGAATCTGATCAGAAAGCCAAGGCTAGCTTCAGCAGCGGTGTGGCCATTCACTAGAAGATGCCAAACGGTGTGGGTAGGCCCAAGAAGCGAGACTTGAGAGTTTTCAAAACCAAACGCTTGGGGGAAACGTACTGGACATCACCATGCCCTCACAAGCAACAACGGAAAAACACCGCGAGAAATCGAATATTCAGACTCAACACCGAAAAACAAAGGAGACATAAGAAAACGGATCAAAACCAAAAGGCAACGAGAAACACAAAAGACTAAACACCAACAAACACCGAGAAAAAACAAACAACCCAAAACACACCTCGAGACATAATAGTAATAATAATAAAAATAATAAAAACAATAATAACAAAAATAACAACAATAACAATAATAACAACAATAACTACAACAATAATAGTAATAACTCAAGGCCTGTGGACCTCTTTCCCTGCAGAGTTGTTGATTGGTTTACTTGTCAAAGTTTCCTTGTTTTGAGTCGTTTTTGCTTTCTCGATAATTGTTTTGTCCTGCTTTGAGACAGGCCGCTGCAAAACCCCACCGCTCACAAGGTCCGTGTCTGTAGAGTGCTAACACCCCGAGGTTTGCTGCTCCTTTTGGAGCGTTATCTAGTTTTTGCTCCAGATCCAGCTCGGAAATCGTAACTAATGTCAGGCACACGTGGGTGCAAAGTGCACTTCCGTGGCTCCACACAACTTTCAGTATGCAAAATGAATTTTCGCGACTCCCCATAATCGTAACCCTGTCAGTGCAAGTGTAGCATGCAAAGAGCACTTTCGCAGCTACGGATGCAAGAGAGCAACTTTTTTAGTGCAAGTGCCAAAAACAAAGTGCAAACTTCTGCAGCTCCAGCTCGCCAATTGAAGCTCTCGTCCCATGAAACGTTATGGCTTGTTGCCTCCTTCTTGTTTTGATGTGTCTTGGGACACCCTGACTTAACTGCACAACCAAGGTCAGTGAAAGGAGGGCAGAAAGGAGTAGACCTTCCGTTTCCCAGCGTTTGCAGCTTTCTGCCTAAGCGTCTTGTCTTCGAACAACAAGCCTCAGGTGACAGCTGCCTCCCTCTGCTTGGCCGCTAGCTGCAAACACCCATCAAACGCCCGTCCAACTTTCTTGCGGCGGGGCGTGTCAGCTCTTCCTTCAACTTCGGGCTTCGGCCAGTCTCCAGGGTCAGCAAGGCCTGCGCCCACAGCCGCGTGCTCTTGTGCGGTGCATGCACGGACCTGGCGCGGAATCTTCATGATGGCGCGGCCGTAAAACACGTCATCGCGCAGCACCTCGGTCCATGCTATCTAAAACATCACGGACTTTCAGAACTGTGAGGCGGCAGCCATGGCGGTGCGATTGCCGCCCACCATCTTTCGCTGGATGTTGAGCTGTAGGCCTAGCGAAAGCACAGGGCGAAGCGAGTCCATAAGCCTGCCAGGACTCCCCTGCCATGCCCTGCCTTGGCGCCGCATCTCAGCCCAGAACTCCTGACTGACAAACGGACTGACTCAGGCTCCGTGCTCGCAGCCACACGAACGCACACCTGAGCCTTGGAGCTGCTGCATGCCTCGCATGTGACTTGGTGAGCTCATGAGGAACTCATGGAACTCATGGGCAGGGTGCAGTGGGTGCCGTGGGTGCCGTGCCCGCCTCTTCTCTGGCGTCCGGCTGGCCGAACAAAGGCCAAGGGAGGACACACAGAAGCAGGAGGCGGGCCATTGCGCTGGCCTTCTACCATGGACTAAACCTTAGATAGAAAACATTGTACCTCAAAACCTCCTGGGCAAGCAACACATGAGGGTGAGAAGGAGTGCTCTGGACTGCTTCTGATGCGTGCTATTGGCTGTGACGGCTTAGCCATCCGAGGCTGACTTTGGACATGGATCTGGGTCCCAACCCCAAAGGCGCATCGTGGCGCATCTGCCTTTCTGCCGTCTGATAGCTTTCCATTCGAGGCGCGCGGCTTTCCAAGTCTGGAGCTCCACGGGACCTGCAACTCGGCAGCTTTTTGTCAGAGCTTCGCGGGGGCTGCCCGATCAACACCAGCCGTACGGCCGGGAAATGCCATGCCACCAGCGTTGACAGCTTGCAAGACCTGCAAGGGCATCTCTTTTGCACGCATACTTGTAAGACTGAAGCTCAGGACATGAAAAAGAAAAAAACAAACTCAACTCAGAGCCTCTCAAGTCACCCAGTGTCAAGCACCATTCTGGGCCCAGGCAAACCCGAAAGCCGGACCAGCCGCGCGCGGATGCCTCATGGTAGAGGCCTCGCTTCAGGGCAGGCAGCGCCTGCCGGGCTGGGCCTTGGCCCTTGGGCCGCAGGGCCTCTGCCATGGCCATGGCGCAGGGCCTTGGCTCAGCTTGTGGATCCATCGGGCTTCCGGCTGCGCGCGACTTGCATTGAGACCGTTCCTGTTTGCATTTGCTTTCCTGTTCGCATGTGCTTTCCTGTTTGCATTGGGATTCGATCAAGATGCAGAACCTTCTGCGTGGGCTTTGCGGCATCGATGGCGCCAGCTGCCAAGAGATCCTGCGCAGTCCATCGCCTGGCAACTGTGGCCTTCAGTAAACACGAAACACGCACGAAGACAAGAACACGGCGCCCTTAAGCTTTCTCCAAAAGCCAGTGCTGACATGTTGTCCTGGCCTGGAGTTGAACAGGATGACATCTCGATGCATGCTCTGAGGAAGCTTTGCCTGGAAATGGGTCAGGCCAAGGCTCGGAAGTTCAGCAGAAACGCCTCGGATGCAATCGGGTCACCTTCATCAGCGCCATCTGCATGGGCGCATACACCAGGCCCAGGTCCACGCCAGGAATAAAAAAGAAGCCTGACGGACCGAATCTGACAGACTCCAAGAAAACTTTCGCCCAGTATCTGGCATCGACGGCCGAAACGAAGCTTGGGCCTGACTCCTTGGACATGATGCGGAAGTCCAGCGCCAATCCCATCATTGCCCCGGCGGCGCACCAGTGGCCCCTGAAAGCCCCCAGCGTGGGCAAGGGGAAGCAGCACAGCCTGGCGCGCTTCTGCGATCTCAGGCCGGGCGCTGGGCTGACTGCCTTGCCATCAGCTCGTTGGTCGAGCGCTGCAATGCGTCGGGCTCATGTTGATCCAGGTACCGCAGATCCATGCCGTTGGACCAATACTTTCCTCAAACTCGGCGAAGTGGGCGCTGGGATCGCTGGGCAAAAAGATGCAAAAAGGGAAGCCCCTGGGAGACGATTTTGGTGGCGCTTGGAGGAATGGGATTCAAGGGATCTGGTACTTTTCATAACCCAGGGCATCCCAGCAGTGCGGCAAAGCTTCCGTTGTTTGTAATCACCAACACCTGGAAGTCTGGATGCACTGCAATCATTTGCTCAAGGCTTTGGTCTGCATTCTGCCAACGGAACTGTAAGGCCGCCTTGGCATCGGAACCCTCCACGACATTCAATGCTTGGGATAGTGCTGAAACCAATTCCTCAGATTGGCCGCAAATTTAAACGTGATCCTTTGGCCATCACGGATACCTGCGGCAAGGAGTCGGGATTCCAGCGGTGCTCTTGCCGCAACGTCCCCCAGGGCCAACTCCCTTCCGTCGCCACGAGCGTCACAAGGGCAATGCCATCTCCTTAGCTTCTGAAGAGCATCAGACACCAGCGAGAACGTTTCCACAAGCCCCAAAAGGCTCCAAACAGCAAGGGGTTCTTCTGGACAAGGCCACTTGCTCTGCCTGAAGCACATCACAAGGGCCCTCCAAAAGGTGCTCTAAAAAGCAAGGTGCGGATCTCAAGAGCCACTTCCCCTCCAAAGACTCGCTCCATGGCTGCCACCCTGCCAATGATGTGCTGGTCAGACTGCATGTTGGAGCAACATCCGTTTCGCGTTTGTGCCTCGGGCGGACTGCATGTTTGTTGCTTGGCTTCGGCTACTTAAGGAATTGACCCGAGAACGCCATGCGAGCAAACGTGGACTCGGGACTGTTGCACCACTGAGAGGCAACTAGGCTCCAACTGCTATGAATCCTGAAAGGCAAGGGAGCCAAAGCTGAAGGACAAGCCCAAGTCCCGAACCATGCCACAACAATGGCTCTGAAAAAAAACTCAAAAAACGCCACACCGTTGCCAACATCTTGCAATGCACCTTCAACGTTTGGCCTAGTATTGCTTCTACTTGCTGGAGTTGAAGTCCGCTTTTTGTCCCCTCGCAAGCCTGAGATCCATTGCCTCTCGCTGATCAGTGTCCAGATCTTGGCTGTCCGCAGCTTCTCTCACCTCCAGCCAGGGTCTGTGTTGTTCGAGTCATCCTCAGGCTCGGAGCGAGGACATGCCTGGCTAAACCTCACCAGATCAATGACTAAGTCATTCCATGCCCCCTTAGCCTCTCTCTGCCCAGCTAGCGTTGCTTCATGGTGGCAATTTGCTTTATGCCGGCATGTGCAGAGTGGCAAAAGCACTTTGAGAATCCGGCCCAGTCGTACACATTCTGGCACACAATGCAGTTGTATCCTCGGCGCCATTCCTTCTGCAAGCTTGACTCGAGGAACTTTCATTCCTGGAATGCTTCTAGATTTCCTGTCTGTTCTCTTGATGGGCAAGGAAAGCGCATGCCACTTCGCAGTCGCAGTGTGTTGCCTTAGCCTTTCGCAAATACACGACATGTATGCGCTGGCAGCAGTTGCCTTCAAAAAGGGGAAGATCATCGTTGCCCAAATGGCTCTCACGTGCATGGACTTGCTGTACTGCGGCAACATTGCCCTACAGGCCTTGAAGCAGTGTTGCTCCGCTTCAGTTTTTGGGTTGAGGGATGATACAAACACTTTTTAGGAATAAAGAAACCTTTTCCCTGAGGATCAAAGAAAGACTTATTCGGGTCAAAAAAAATGTCTCGTAGATTTACTATAAACATGAAAAGTCAGAGGATCAACAACACTTAACTTCTTCATTTCATGGCAGGCACTGCGCTTTTGAAAGCTTGGGTACGGATGGCAGGCGCATCACTTTCGTAAGCGACAAAGAGAAAGATAAACATAAAGTGTTGTGGAACCCTGCTACGGAAGCTAACCTTAGGCCACGAGCCTACGGCCATAGGCTTTGCGCAGGAAATCCAAGTAAGTCTGCGTGAGACCCGCCAGCAAGTCAGAATGTTACTTGAGAAACCCTGCAAAAAATATAATTGAAGAAGTGTGGTTCAACAAAGGGTGCGGAAATCTCTGTAAACATTCTAAAAACCTGGGGGGGGACCTCCCCCCGCGCATGATGTTCGAAGAAGTGATGATTCAACAAAGGGTGCAAACATCTCTGTAAACATTCTAAAAACTGGCGGGGGGGTTGGGGTTTTCTCGTTTGTGCTGTGCTTGATTCACAGCATTCCACTCATGATGCAATCCGTCTGCCATTTATATGGCTCAAGGCCTGGTAGCTCACGTTCTCTTGAGCAGAGGATAAAAAGCCCGACTTGCTGACTGTGGTACAGTGTTGACTTGTTCCCATTGGAACCAAACACTGCTTACACACATATTGGTTATGTACCTCTTACGTACATATATATATATATATTCTGCATCGGAGCGAGGTGTTCATTCCGGGCCACTTGGGTCCCCCTATTTACAAGGTCGAGCGAGAGGAAGTCTATGGAACAGAGCCACCCGCAGCAGGTTCCTTGGAAGCCGTCATAACGGCGTGAGTTCCCATGGAGAAACAAATAGCCTTTCGATGAAGCGAAATTGCCTCCATCGTACGACGGCCGCGTTAATTGGTTTCGGTATGAAGATCTGGTAAGGGGCTGGATAACATTCACAGTTATAGAACCTGCGCGGCACGGCCCGCAAGAACCGTCTCTCAGAAGACGAAGCAATATACCGCGATCTCTTAGATTACAAGAAACTCAAGATCCAAATACTGGAGTAGAGTACTTTCTCAACTTTCCTCGCCGATATTTCTTGAAGGGAATTTCCTTTACAGGCTCCTCAGTTTCTTCAACCATCTCCGAGGTAACAACGAGTTCGTAACCTTTATCACAAAAGTCAAGATTCTCCTACGAAGATTGCGAGCATCTTGGGAAGATACAGCTCCCGAATTCACCCAAACAAGCCCTGAGTATATTCAGGCTACCAATGACGCGAATCAGAGAGTGCGTGATAAGCATACTCAGGGAACAGTTAAATTAACAACCATGGTGCAAAGTCGCAACACGCCCGCTCCGACTTACCTCAATGCAAGACCCCAAGGCAACTTTGACAGACTTGTTCGAGGAAAGAAACAAGAACAGTCACAGGCTATTCCGCTGTCAAGCAACTTTCTGACACTGTTCTTCATCATACAGAGCGAGATGACAGAAGGCCAACGAGCACGATTGGTATCTTCGTTGGCCCTCAGCGGCATCCAGCTCCCTCAGTGCACTTATAACTTGTGAGACTACTACGACCTCGTTGGCCTTGCCGCCTGTGGTTTCTTCACGGGTTGACAGCGGCCTCTTCGGCGCTTGCCCTTGCCTTTTCTGCCTTTTTGCCCCTTGCCGGACTTGAGAGTCCGACGTTGCCAAAAAAGCCCTACTTCCGTGTCGTATCCTGAAGGAGCGATGAGATGGCCGATGAAATCCATCACCGATCATTACTATTTGTGCAAGAAAGGCAAACCGCAACCTTGGTACCAAAAGAGACAAGGAAAACCCAATAGCAAATCCAAGGATAAAGGAAGCGGTCCCGGCAAGAACGACGAAGGTCAAAGAAAACCAAAACCTTTGCCGTGGATCACAGTGCCGATGCACAGGAAGCCACTGTCGACAAATCGGCAGAGCCTTGCCAGGATGATTGGTGGTCCTTGAAATGGAAGAGCAATTCCTTTTAGTCGAGCCAAAACGACGGCTACGTGACGTGTCATATCTAGCCGTATAAGTTGACGCCAGTAGAAGCCTATGGCATGATTCCGCACGCGACACCAAGTCGAGCTCAAGCCTTGGCCAGTACACCACCAAGCAGGCTGAAAATCCAACCCGTGTCATTCTTGACAACGGTGGCACGCAGTCCATGGGCAGTTGGTATGCAGTGAAGAGATTCGTTAAAGCAATTGAACCATATATAAGCAATCACACCACAAAGGAAATTGAGAGTTCATGGGGTGGACCTTACTGACTCCTGGATCTGACTTAGCGCTCTTCTCACCGTAGTAGACGTATGTGCAGCGATCCGCACGAGTGCGCACAAGGCCATAAGACCTTACCATAAGACCTTACCATCGCCTCGGAGCATCGTTGAGCCCGTAGGTACGGGCTCCTATGTATGGTATTGTAGAGGAATGCCGTTGTAAGGCGCGTTTGGAACATGTTCCGCCCTTTGCCTGAACTGCTACTCTGAATCCACTTCTTAAGGAAGTTACTTCTTTATCTCTCTACACTGTGTTCACCGGTTCCTTAAAAAAATGACAGTGATTAATTAGTGTCAACTCACCCAAGGTTTCTATGGCTGCCTTCTTGTCGTAGGGGTCATGGATCTCCTTCGGCAGGAACGCGCGAGTGCAAGTGGCAATGTAAATGGTGGAGCATCTGCCGCTTCTTGTGGCACGGTAGGATCTCTTGGCTCAGCGGCATGCCGGCCTGGTGCTTGTGTGATCCTGTCTGCTGGTTTGTCGATGTGAATTTGCTCTGCTGTTAGTGGTTTGTTGGAGAACTTGCACAGCGTGGATCCTATCCACATCTCTGGTGTTGTCTTTGGCGAAGTTGCTTTGACTTGCCAGTTATCTTCAATAGAAGATGATGTTTTTGTACCTACCTGGAATCGTTTTGCTAGTCTCTGCTTGAAGATGTGTGTGTGCGTGTGCAACGGGACAAGTCTTGCCCGTGTCAGGCGCGAACAGTGATCTCCTCTTGGGCACAATGGATTCAACTTGGAAGATCTCATGGACCAGGCAACAATGCGCAAGTAGACCAGTCCATGGTGCTATATCCCTTCATGTAGATGGTCTTCTCATGGCAGGTGACAACACGTTTGAACAACAGATCATGGCCAAGATCCGAAAGCTACTTGCAACGAACCGCAAGAGGAATAGAACGACTGTGTCTTTGCAGGACAGCAAATCCCCCCCAGTGGAAACATGATCCACAGCACGGAGAGCGCATTAATGTGCACCACTTCGAGAAGCACCTCAAGGACGATGTACACTTAAAGACAGATGAACTCGCTTCAATCCAGAACCCGCCTTCATATTGGATATCAGTTCTCCAAGGCTTGATCTCCAACTATTGGTGATGTCAGAGCCATCAACAAGACCGTCAGAACCTGGAGTATGCCTCTGAGAATGGGATTTTGGCCTTTTAAGGGCAAGATTGTCAGATTGCCGGGCCGCACGCTCGCCAGTGTGCGCACGTACCTGTCTCCCAGTATGTGCCTTCATTTCTCCCCCAGTGCTGCCAGGTTGCCGGGCCGCACGCTCGACGGTGTGCACAATTTACCTGTCTCCTATTATGCGCCTTCATTTGTCTCCCAGTCCTGCCAGATCGCTGAGCCGCATGCTCGCCAGTGTGCGCATTTACTTGTCTTCCCTTCATGCGTCGCCCCTTTCGCTGGGCCGCATGCTCTGCGCATTTACTTGTTTGTCTCCAGTATGTGCCCTCATTTGATCTGGCAGCAGAGAAGGGTTTTGGCCCGTAGCGCAACACCCCAAAACAAAACAACTTCCTTGAAAACACAAAATAGACAATGGCCCTCCTTGAAAACCAATCGCACGGTGCATCCTACATGATGCGCGCAACGACGTGACGCGGTTCAACCATGTAATGCCCATGACTGCCCATGCAATGTGAGATGACTGGAATTGATATGAGCTGATATGATGTGACTTGAAAACCCAAAAAGACTCTGTTTCCGAAGTGCTCAGGAGATGAGTTTGCATGATGCGGCACAGCGCTTTTCAATACAAAGTGCGGCGATGGTGTGACACCACACAGCGTGTTGGTGGTCTGAACAGCCGTGGCCCAAACCAAAATGACATGAGATAGAAATCTTGACATTGAACTTGCTTGTGATGAGGTATGCTGCGAAAAGGCGCCGCGCGTGATAATGTGGCGCTGGCTCCTGAATAGCACAAAGAGACGGGTGCTACAAACCTGATATGCAACGGCCCAAAGCATGCTGCCAAGCGACCCCTGCAAGCTGAAGTGCGACGATGATCAGGAAGCGGTCTGCTGTAGAAAGTCCTTCCGGAATGATTTTGCCCTCGGCCCGCTGATCGCGCCCGTCTTGGGCAGCGCAGCCTCAAACATTCGGAGACGCGCGCGAGGATTGGACTCTCATCCGGGCCCAAACAAAGACGGAGGCCTGCGTACAGGACAATCGCATCCTGGATGTTGTGGCATGCGTCGTTGCCAAGTCTCGCAAGCCAACCTTCTAAGTAGGTTTGGTTGGTGCTCTCCCGGTACCGCAGTTAATTGAGGTATATAGCCAAAGGCTGAAGCCTTCACTGGCAAGCCTGCTGACAGAGAAGAAGTCATAAGCTGTCTCGTCCTCAGACTGCAGAAGCGGATGCCAAAGACCTTTCTTCTCTCCGTGGCGGTTCTCCCAGTTGCCTCCAATGAAACTCACTTTAATGGAGGAGAATGCTCTGCCAGGAGCTTGGCCTTCTGCTACGCACACGCACTCCGGCAGATTGGCAACAGCAGCGTCCTGGTCCGTTACAAAGCGCATCATATTCTTGGCCACATGCTTGCCCGCATCCAAGAGAAACTGCTCTTGGCTAACGCTCGATGAAAGCGCCATGATCAGCTGCGCTGGACTTGTGGTTCCTGGTTGAACGGTTGGCTTACAACACTCACAATGGTTCGTGCGTTTTCACCTTTTTGGTGGAGAACATCTCCTATGAAGTACACGGTTTCGAGCCTTTACAACAAAGGAACCCTCGAGCCTTGTTTGGAATCGTTGACTCAAGAAATTTGTCTGCTCCCGCAGCCATTTAACTGTCAAGCGTGCTTGACCTCTTTGTGTTACAAACCCCTGTCGATCATGCGGCGATCTTCCGGGATGAGGAAGGAGAAAGACATACCCCGGAACCAAATCCCTGTTCTGAGGGCGAGAAGACTCACGAAGAAAACAAAGATATGCGAGACCCAGAACCTCCCAAAGAATCTGATAAAGAAGAACTATATCAAGATCCTTCCTAAGACAAAGAGCAGGAAGAAGAAGATATTCAAGGTTCTATTCACTGCACACAACCAGACTATGGAGGTGCTGAGGAGTCTGATGAACCACCGCGTGAACGCCAGGAACCAGTAAAACCGGAAGAGCCGGAGGAGTTGGCTCCCTGCGCTCATGCCAAGACGCGGAGGTGTAGCACGGTGTCAAAGGCACCAACCCCATCCACAGAAAGCGCAGTAGCCTCAGATCGAGCTTGATAGCCGAAGCCAAGGCAGACCTCGAGCACATCCATTTGCGACATATTGAGACTCCTTCATGGCAGCGACCTCATGGTATATATCATCTCATAAATAATTTACGACCGAACTTTCGCTATGTGCCGCAAAACAAACATGACCATCGAGATGAGAAGCGTTCACGGTCTCAGTTCTTCAACACTTGGACTCATGTTGGAGACCGACACGATGCCCTCAAGGGACTCGGCAAGTGCCAGCAGTCCTTGAATAGTACGCTGACTACAAGATTCACCAACCACATGGCACATGCAGATTGTTCCCACAGTATTCAATTATCAAGGCCAGATTGACATGTCTATGACAAATTGTAACGCACAGGTGTTGGCCAACTTGTTCCACGCCAACGACAAGAAGATGTGGGTCACTACGCCATACTCCAGATGAGCATTCCAAGCATCCACCTCTCCATGGAGAGGAGGATGGAAGCATTCGTTTGGATGCTGCCGAAATACGGTCATATTGCCACTCCTTGATTGACATCTCCAAACACCGGACCGCCATGGCCAACACATACAACATACAGAGGCGAACTCAACGGACCTCCTCCAAACGATTCAAAGACAGTGGATCAAGAACCGAGACTTCAACAAAGGAGCCATGCAAGATCGAGATGTCCAACACATTTGCTTCGCACCCATTGCTGGGCTGAACCAGATTCCCATGATGAACACCTGAGGTGTGGAAACGAGAAACTCCGAAACCGAGCTCATCCAAGAAGGCACCGATGCCTCCTAAGCATGAATCCGAAGAACGAGGATTCACATACAAAGGAGCCTTGGAAGGCAAACCGAAGAGCAAGGCAACGCCAAAGCCTTAGCAGCCACGCAGGACCACACTGGACCTTGCGGACCTCGGACTCAATACTATGGTGCCCAATGCATCCTTCAATGATCAGCTTTAAACATAGCTGCTCCTACTACAACAGAGGCAGGAATGGCAGGAATCATCAAGGACGGATACGTGATCGGCAAAAGAACGGATCGTTGATCTGACAGATTACATTCTCTATGGAAATACTCCAGATTTCTGCTATTATGAGTTCCGACAGAACCTTCCATGCCTCGCGTTGTTCTTGTACAGATCCGACGACGAATCAGGAAAAGTTCGATCAACCTGGCGGCAAGGTCCTGGCAACAACCGCCAAGGCTCCATCAAGAAGATGATTTTGTACGTTAGCGTAGACAAGCAGAAACCAGGAGAAGAATCGGTGGTACGCTAAATTCTGATGATCACACAGTCAGCAAACCGTTGAAAGCACGTGGCCGACATTTCTCACACAATAGCCAATCTCCTTGAATTGTGAACCTGAAGCCATCTACACCCGGTACTACGCTCTGGTCATCCTGGGACACCTGAACATTTAGCGAGTCAGAACCAATGGGAGCAAGACAAGCCGGCCACCGCGCAAGGTGTGATCAGCAAGAAAACAAGTCTTGAACGCAGCCAGACTGCAAGCTCCTCATCGAGGACAGATTGTCCGAGTGTGCCAATGCAATATGCTTTAACGGCAGAGATGGGTCCTGATGGAAAAACAACTATTCGATGAAGCTTCAGAACTCATGGACAAATTGACAGAACACAAGTTCAGGCTTGACAAGCGGAGCCTCTTATTTCTCTGATGTTTACACCATCAGGAGTATTCACCAGTCTCCAACTCGAAAGTATCAGAAGGTGTGAAGTAAGCTCCAGACATCAGAAATGACGTAAGTTTGCGATTTGGAATCATCACGTTGTCCACTCACGAAGCATCCGACGCCCTTGCACCTTCCTTGGGCCAATGCCTGCCGGAGATGTCCTGGATTGTTGGAATAGGTTGGATATATCGGTGGTCGCTGAAGGTTTCCGACAGGCATATCTGGACATTCTTCAGCATGTACTACAGTCCACAAAGACGGTGGAATGGCTCAGACACAGCCATGCGCCGCGAGACTCAATATGCCTTTCTTTTCTTTTCTTTGGCGTACTGTTCGTGGTGACATCTTGAATAGCATAAGGAATCCTGAGAAGATAGCCGCATTCAGGTTAATGGCTGCCAAACTCTTCACATATTGAAAAGTTCTCGTCCTTCTCCTTGTAGTAGAGATAGTCGCCCTGTTTTTGGCTTAGGGGTCAAGATATAAAGGTTCCTGTGAACAGGGAGAACCTTGCTGTCGGTGGAACCTTCAAAACTTCAATGACCGCATCGTCAGCACATCTGGAAATGATGCAGGATCCGTGGCATCAAGGAAGCACAATCATTTCAGGATGGAAGAATCTTGCATCTCAATGGCGGGCTTGCACAAAACATTGTTGATGCAATCCTCACAATCCACACGGACCAACAGGACCTACGTGCATTGTGTGGGAGTGCCGTTCCCAACGGTACGGGAATACCATTATGCAACGGACAAGGCATACAACTCAGTCATGGGAAACATGATACGATTCCTAGATCGTGGACTGAAAAACGTGGTCGATGTCATCACCGGCGAGGCGAACTCAGCACGCAACCAGCTAAGCAAGAACCGGTTGGTACATCAACAAAGCCCAGAGCGATCCAATGAACCATCTTCGAATCACTACCGCAGTTGCAGCTTCAAAGGGATCTATATTGAAAGCTTCGGTCAAACACGGTACTAAACTCGACCTCGAGCATAACGCATTCCATGGAGCCCTCGACTGCTTGGTAACCAATGTCTTCCACTGGGCCAAGACCAACAAAAAACACACCGATGACAAATACGTACCAACGAAAACCAATCACTGGGAAGCATATTTCTTGACTAGAAGGTGGGCTCCGGCGAAACACTCCTCACCAATGAGCAGCTTATGCTTGGTGAAAGAGATTCAGACTGGCACCATCTTCTCCTCCTGAACATCGAAATTCTCCACGAGAGCAGCAATGTATCCGAGGCAGCGATGAAACGCAAGAGAGAGAGAGAAGGAACGTGGATACTCCAGTCAGGAGTAAACCAACTTTCAAGTGGTGCAGTGATGTCGTCGCAATGAATAACAATTTCTATATGGCATTTTCAATTTCTTTTCGCTACGGATCTCACAAATTTCTCACAATGATCCTAGGCGTGGTCAGTATCTTTTCCAATACCAACTCGTTTACACATTCGCATCTTCTCACCTGAGATTTTGAACAGATCTGTCACCAGTCAACCAGTCAGAGCCCCAATGTGCTAGAACTGCGCTACTTGGCTTGCTGAGCTGAGTGATGAAATCGCTCTATGAAAGGATTTGCTCATATGAAGTAGTGATGCCATGGGCGGAAAGGAATTTGTGTCTGTCTTGTTTCTTGTTTCTGTGCTTGATTCACAACATTCCACTCATGATGCTAGCCGCTGCCACTGATAATATGGCTCAAGGCCTGGTAGCTCATATTCTCTTGTAATTAAAGAGGACCAATTAAAGCCCGACTTGCGGACTGTGGTACGGATAGAAAAATGTTCCCATCACTGCTTACATACATATGGGTCATTTACCTCTCACATACATGTATACGTTCTGCATCGGAGTAGATCCATCAGGGACCTACGAGGTGTGCATTCCGGGGCCACTTGGGTCCCCCCATGTACAATTTTAAGGGGGCGGCAACCCCACCCTGGAATTCCTCCCGTCCTCTCCTCCTCTCCTCCCTTCCTTCCCCGCATAGGAATGAGAAGAAGTTTTGTTTGATCCCTAGTAAGCTTTTTTGACCCCTGACAAGTTTGTTTTACCCGAAATCCTCAGTTTTGAGGGGAAGAGTGGCGCAACAACAACAACTCTATTTTGAGGCAGGTGCTTCGTTGCAGTCGCTGCAACAAGATGTCTTGCATTTCCTGCTCGAACCGCAGGTCCTCCAAAAAAACTGCGGGAGCGTGGCTTCAAAACGAGACAAGCCCTGATCTGCATTCATCTCGCACCAAACTGCACCCTCAGGTTCGTCTAAAAGTTGGGTCGCACATCTGCTTTAGTGCACGCTTGGAGCACAAAAGGCAAAACTCCGAAGGCCGTGCAAGTCTTGCATCGCAGTCGAGTCCTTGAACCAGTTGTGTCGGACTGCCATTCCCAAAGGCGCAGTAAAGAGATGCGGCTCTGCCTCGGCACCGCCCCCTGGAGGCTGGCATGTCGCATCCTAAGGCACGCGCCAGGACTGTGACCTTGGCAATGCGACCCTGGAGATACCATGGCATCCAAAGCAAAGCGCTGGCGATGCCCTGTTTGGTGCGGACAGGCGTGCTCCACACTTGTGGTGGGTGCTTGTGGCAAGCTGAGAAGCTGGCCTGCCTTTGTGGCAGGCTTGTGAAGGGCCGGCGGTTCTTTGGCACAGCCCGGAACCTATGGAATGCCAGAACTTTGCGGCTTGGCTTTGGGGCTTTGAGGCCTGTAAGAGCGACCCAACAAGTGCGGCCCCTCTGGATCTGAAGAGACGGGCAACTCCGAGTTCTGAGCTGAGATGCGGCTAGGACGCGAGCCAGTGAAACGCGCACAGTACCAGCACGCACAAAGAATCAGCGCCAGCAAAAAAGCGCTGACCGTGACAGCAATGGCAGCCTGCGCGCTAGCTGATCCCTTCACCTCTCTGGGGCTTGGGCTTGGCGTGGGACATGGGTGGTAAGGAGCGAAGCCACACCATCGGCATTCCATGTGCTGGCCATCCGCATTGCAGCCAAGACCTCCAAGGCGACACTCCAGGTCCCAAAAGAATGGGGTGCTCCTTGGCGGTGCGACGGGGAAGGCGCAGTCGCCAAGCTCGAGCTCCAAGGGTGACTCTGCTTCCTCTGCTTCTACTTCTGACTCCTCCCCTGGCTTGACCGACTCGGTGGACCAAGGAGCCAGGGTGGAAAACCACGGCCTCATGGCCCCCGGGCAGCTTTCAAGCGGGATGCCGGTGCCACACCATAGCCCATAAGTGCCAAAGCCCTTGCCACAAGCAAAACGCGGGGGAGTCCTTCGAAGGAAATCCTCGCACTGAGACCTGCCTTTCAGTTGCAACACTCCATGCACGTGCGGCGCCAAGATTGTTGGACGAGCTGTCCCAAAGCCGTCTGGAGAATACACGTGTGAGCCATTGACATATGGTGATCCCCATGCGATGCAGTCAAAGTTAGCTATGCGAGACTTTGTCGAATCTGCTGCGAAGCTACGTGCCCAGTTAAACAAGTCTGCCTCTGCAACTTTCAGCGGCCATGCCAGCTCCTGGCTGCCTTGCACGTACAGTGGGTTGCCGTTTCCTCCGAAGGCACATTTGGGCTTGGTGACGTGAAAATCATCGCCTGCTGCGGTGATGATCCAGCGACTGTTTAGCACATGGATTCCGCCATCATAGAGTTGGAAAAATGTGTTGGACACCGGCCCACTGACAAATAAGGATCTGTCAAATGTCAGGGTGAAACCTGGAGGAGTCCCCTTGGTGACCTTGAAGCATGCACTTGTAAGCTCCGGCATGCTGGCGGCGACTATGTGAGCGTTGAAAAAAATGGCACGTCTGAAGTGAATGTAGCCTCCAGAGCTCCACACTGCGCGCGCTTCCGTGCGGATTGGGCTCAGGATGTGCGCAGCGCAAAAGTCATCAAAGCGGTTGGCCTGAAATCGGTACTCGCGGCGCCCAGCGGGCAGGCCCGCATCAAAGCGCATTGGCACCCAGGCGAAGGAGCCCTCCAAGGGCCCTGAGCAAGTGGCGCAGTCATCACCCCAGCAGGGCACGCGGTGATCCACGGAGTCCTCCACGCGGCCGTCCACGTGGATGCCCCGCTGGGCGCTGGTGACTGTGTTGAGGAGGAAGGCGCGCACCGGCGTGCGCGCGGGCTCCTGGTGCAGCCACCAGCTCCCTGGGCCGTGCCCGCTGCGGGTGTCGTTGAAATACACCCGGCTCAGGCCCATGGCGCTGATGGCGCTCGGCGCAGTCACAGGAAAGGTGAACCAAAACCCAGTCCCCGCACCAACGACGTGGTTCCCAACGAAGCTGTTGTTGGGGTTCGTTATCCAGAAGCCAGCAGGACCTAACTGGAGGTTGGATCTGGGCCCCGATGCAGATTCCCAGTCCGTGCAAACCGACCCGCCAGGATGTGCCGACACCATGAGGTTCCCTTGGAAAGTATTCCCGGTCTCAATGCCATCCTCCAGGTAGAACGCGTGTCCGAAGGTGTTGTAGCAGACGTTGTCCTGCACTTGGGCACCCTCTGCCCCATGGATAGTCACACAGCGCTGGAAGTTGTGGTGCATGGACACGTTGCGGAGGAATTGGCCCTCCACGTTGCCGGCAAGGTGCCAGTGGACTGGGTATCTGGCCACATGAAGCGCCTGTCATCTTATCAAAGGGTCCCCATGAGGTGACTGAAAACCAAACAAGCTCTAAGTTCTGGTGACTTGCCCCGCCGAAGATTTGCTCCAAAGGAGCCTGGACAGAACCAAAAAAGGATCCGCCGTCTGCTTTGGTGATAGACGATATGCGTATAACATATGTGCAGTAAGTCTACGTGGTGCATTATGTCAAGTGAAGCACCACGCCTGACCCAAAAGCGACAGCTCTGCATGCTCGATGTGGACGGTCGCTCCCTGAATGAACATCATGTGGCCCCCAAAGCAGGCGGCCGCTTCCGCTGTGTCCGCTTGGTTGGAAAGCGAGTGCCGACATTCGTGCCAGGCCTCCGCGCTGGCCATGCGGCCTTTCATCTTTACATTTCTGGTGAGCAGCCCAACGGGAGCGTTCAAACGCTTGCCACGGCCTCGGAAGCGGCCGCTGTGTCCATGTCGCAATGGCTCCACCAGTTTGACTTGGGTGCCACTCGCTCCCACTTGCACGCTCGCCACTGTTGCAACCTCAGAGTGGCTCGCGTCTGGCGACGTTGAGCCAATCACAACTTGGTCTCCCGCTTCCCAGTTTGTGCCACCGTCCAGAAGCAAAGTCGAGCTGCCCCTCGAGACATCTTGCCTCAGGTACAGCCACGCAACCTTCGGAGCGCCGTGGATTTCCAAGCGGCCAGTGTTGGTCACTAGGAGGCCCTTCGCCAGGTCCATGTTGCCATTCGCCAGGTCTGGTAACCCCGCTCGGCCGTAGCTGAAGCTCAGCTTGCTGGGGCCGTATGCGCCAGTAAGCTCCAGAAGGAAGTGCCCTTGGAAGGCGTCGTCGTCACATCCGATCCACAGCTCCCCATCCAGGCGCACCGCTCCCGTAACGAGGTGGACCTCGGCCCAGCGGTCCAGCACCAAACGCGCCCCGGGCCGCACAGTGATCGAGCGGCTCGCCACTTTGGCCTCGCCCAAGACGCAGTCCTCCTGCACCACGACGTCCACGCCGCTGAGGTTACATGGCACCCGGGGCTTGGGGCACCCAAGCGACCCAAGCCCCGGAATCCAAAGGAAGGTGAAACATGTGAAACTCCAAATTCTCAGAGCCATCGGCTGCAAGCGGTCACCAAAATTTCACCCTGCATGGTGCGAAATTTCACCAAGGGTGCAACTGCGGCCTAAGGCGGCTGCGCTGGCGTACTTTGGCTGCATCCGACTGTCCCAGCAAAGATTTAAGCCTGGAAGCGCATGAGCGAGCCAGAGCCTTGAAGTTCTGAAGCACAGCACGCCTTCAAAACATATTCAACATACAGCACAATGGCCCTGCCTTGAGGATTATCTTTCTTCAAGTGGGCCATGTCCTGGCGCAGAGTGTTTGGCATGCGCATAGTGAGCCTCCCATGGTACACACCCATCACCACAAATCCTCGTAGGTCTCTGGCACATCGTACCTGCGAGAAGCTTTTTCATGGGGCTTTCTCTGCGTGCAACGCATTGCAACACCCGTTGCAAATGGATTTGTCCAGACGAGGTGGCACCATTCCTGCAGCAACTGCACCGCTTCGGGAGTGTTCCTCACCTTGCTCGATCTAACGCTAGGGACACTGGTTGCCTTTGGCTTTGCCATTTAGGTTTCCCAACGTCATCCAATACACGGATTGCATGCGTTGCTGAGCCCATCCTGAGTTAGTTTCTCAGTGCTTCGGACACAGGTCATCTGGCTGCACTTTCAAGGCATCATGGTGCTCATGGGACCCCAGCATATTCTGTGCTCTCCCTGTGGAAATTGAAAACCTTTCCTGCCTTGTTTGAAAAAGACAACAAGTATTGCACTTGACTCACTTGACCCACTTGACCACACCAGAACCCCAATGTACGAGACATGGGCTCAGGCTGTGCTGGCACTCGCCTTTCCGTGGGACAAGCTGCTGACAGGCTACTGCCGGTGCCCAAAACCACAACTCACGACCCGAGAGGAAATCTGCAAAGCGCGGTGACAAAAGCTGGGGCCTGCGAAAGGCAACGAAAGGCAACGATAGCAAGGTCAGCAAGGAGGGAAAGGCTCCACGATTGGACACGTGACAACATCTTTTTTGTGATTCGGGCACGAGCCTGTGCCCAGGCAATGGGTAAGTTGGGGTAAACAAGCCACAAAAGAAAGATTCCCCAAAAGCAAACCAATCCCCGGTCCCAAAGATCAGGGTTTCCCACACACCAGAGAACAACAACCAAAAGGGAAATCCAAAACAAGTAAACAAGTACCCGCAACCTTGGTCGACGATGAACCGCACGGGCGGACCCCACCAATCTGCCCCGGGCCGATGTCTCTTTCTCCACCGACACGAAGGTGATCGACGCGGGGACCCGGCGACGCTCATCCGAGGCGCGACGGACCCGCAAACTTGAGCCAAACATCACAGGTCAGTCACTACCGCGACATCCCTGATGATGAAATGAATCATGGCTAATCACACCCCCCTCACGAGGAGCTCGTCATATGACGGGTGGAGCGTGCCATTTACTGATAGGATTTAACTGCTCGCATGCGTCCGCAAACAGCTGGACACTACCGCCGTCAGCGGTGGAGCAAACCCACAAAGGCAGTTGCGCGACATCCCGGGCAGTAAATTCCCGCCACCACCCCGAATTAATCGGGGTAACGCTGTCCAACACACCTTGTGGAAAAGTCCACATGATGACACTAGGCCACAATTGTTTGCATCAACAATGCAAGTAGTTCAATTCTTATCAGAAGCCATGAAATAAAGGATAACGAATGTTCATCAGTACCCTCGCCTAACGGCAAGAGGTACCCCTGACCATGCGTATCTGAAAAATATTTGAACTCCGCAAACTTGGGAGTACCCTCCACCAGCTTGCATCCCCTCTCACTCACACTACTTCATGATGAGCACGACCAGCAGCCGAGCAGCGGTGCGGGAGAGACATGATCTCCGCGCCTCAGCGGTCCGGAAGGAACATCATCACCTCCGCGCCGCGCCAACCATCGGAGAATGGACGCAAGCCTATCGGCCGCAATCCCCGTGATTCAGCCTATCAGCTATCGTCACGTCTCCTCCGGTCACGTCCGCCCCGCGCACGGTCCCTGTCACGATCCCTCTCGGATCTCCTGCGATCATCTCGCCTTCGATCTCGCTCTCGATCGAGCGAATCATCATCACGACGATCTCGAACATCGTCCCTCCTCCGGTCTCGATCTTCGTCACGCCGCGGTCGATATCTGCGCCTTCTCGATTCTCGGGAATCCCTGGTGTCCAGAGTCCTAACGGACCTCCGAGAAGGAGTACGGGAAACATCCGAATCCCGACGCCCTCTCCCGAGGCGAGAGTTCGTCACGATCTGGTTGAGGACCTCCAGTGCAGAAGCATTCTCACCATTCCTGATGAAATCTCTGACCTGCCTATTTAGCACCCTATTGGATGACATCGTCAGGAAGGCGTCCACCACCGAACTCTCCGGCAACACCAGGAAATGACCTTCCACCGAGCTCGCAGCAGCTCGCTCCGCCGACTGCAATCTGACCTCACTCCCTTCAGGCTTCTTCGCCATCGCCTTGGAGGCCGTCAAAGGCGCTACCGCGTCCTTTGCCGAAGACCTACCAAGCGCGGAGTGAAGATCATCTCCACTCGCCTCTCTCGCCGCCGCACCTGGCCGGCTGTCGACATCATCAGGTCTCTTTGATGCCTCCCGCTTTGTCGACTCCTTCACAGGCTCATCTGGGTTCCAACGGGACTTTCTTTCTCTCTTCTGCCCTTCAGCCGATCCCCGACTACCGCCGGGAGCGTCGTCTCCGCCTACCTTCTCCTTCTTGACTTCAACCTTCGGGTCGGCTTGCTTAGTCTCCTTGGACTCAGCCTTCGGAGCCTGAGCACTCTTCGCCTCAGGAGCTGAAGCTGCCTTTCCCTTCGGCTCGGCCTTCGGGACTGGAGTCATCTTAGCCTTTGCACTTGGCCGAGCTCCTTCAACCGCTATCGCGGCCCAAGTCTTCTTCGGTTGAGCCACAGGTGGATCAACCTCCATTGGAGCCGGCCCAGCATTGGCCTTGGCTTTCGCCTTCCGAACAGCAGGATTATCGCCCTTACCAGACCCTTTTCCTGACGCATCGCTCGACTTTGGCTGTGGGTCGGAAGGACTATCGCCCTTACCACCCTTTTCACCCTTCTTCCCTTTTCCTTTCCCGCCCTTGACGATCGGCTCCTGCTTTGGACCAGGACCCTGTGCAGCATGATGCACCGACTGGAGCTCGTCGATGTTCACATTCAACGGCTCCGGTTGGCGACCATCAAGAACCGTCCTCACCCTATCGTCACTAACATAGACGAATGGGTCACGGAAAGGGGCAGGAGGCTCGGATTGCCCAGCATTGATTGCCTTCTGCACTTTGGCTACCGCTTCCTTCAATCTCTTCTTCTCATCGTACCCCGTCGCTGTGACCATGTACTTCCTGAGATCCGCCATCAATGTATGGCTAGCCAGGATGTCTACGTCCTTCCTGTGGGTCGGATACATGGGAGTCAGGTGACCCGCAGCAGCACCAATCACGTGCGCCATCGGGATATAGAAGGACAAATACGTATCATGACGGGCGAACTTCCTAACGGAAGTCGTCATACGTCTTCCCCACTGGGCCGCATGCACCGGATTCGCTCGGAAGTACTCAGTCAGGTTGGTTTTGATCAGGTGCTTCGGCACCCGCTTCTCCACGAATGCATCCGAGGCCGAAATCCCCGACACGTAGGAAAACTGAAAGAGCACCTTTGCCAGTTCATCCCACGCCGCATCAACTCCTCCCTTATCCTCCCCGAGATAAGGAGGCAACCGGATGCCGCTCTGCACCGTCATCCTCAGGTCAGATGCCATCGAGTAGGAAATCAAATTCCTCTTGATAACCCCGACCACATCGGAAGCGATCCTCTTGGGCTTGAACTGTCCCATGCTCTTCACCCAGTTCGGGACGATGTAGCTCCCCGCGAAGTCCCCTTCGTCCGCGTTGGGGATGAAGTTCGGGTAGAAGACCGGGAGTGCACATCCAGGGCACAAGTGCATCCCAGATGGCGTTATCTCCGCGCGCCTCAGACAGAAGGTGCCAGTCACATTCAACCTGACTTCCGTACGCGTCCGCTTGTGAATCCGCCTATCAGGAGTGAAGTCACCGTAGTCCCAAGCCCGATGATACACTATCGTGTAATCATCGAACATGTACGCAGCCTTCCACGCACCCATGTGGATCTCGTCCCGAACGGCAAGAGTCTTCCTCCTCGTCAGAAACACAGGTCCAATCAGCGACCAATGTACCCGAAGGTCCACCATGACCACCACGTATCCGAATAGTTCCGCAGCCTGTCTCTTGACCCGAGGGGGGCGAAGAGTACTCAACAAAGCACACACATCCCCATACCTCAAGGCAAGAGGCGAAAGAAATGATATCCGGGTCTGCAATGCAATAGGGAGTATGCCTATGCACGTCCTGCTTGGCCATCTCGGCCGCACATAGTGAAGGTACAAGAGCTTTGCAATTGGCACAGTGTATCGAGAACCAAGAGATCAAGCGGGGCTCGATACTACAAGGCTCATCGATCACAGACCAACAAGTGACAATTCTACAGCCAATTGGCGGTAGCAACCCAACGCAGAGTCAAGATGTACCTTACTAAATGCGAGATGCCAAATGGGGAGTATGCAGGCTAGCCACACGGACATAGCACACCCCACTTGGTGCTTCAGCCCAAGCATTGGAAGTTGCAACGGAATACGCAGGCACAGCGGGGCTGGCACTGGGGTAAACCGCGTAGACACGAGGGTAGGCTTAGGGAATAGGTTGGGTGCACCACAAACGAAGGAGCAGGAAGACCGAGCAGTGCCCAGTACTACCAAGCTCAAAGGGATGCACACTACAATGTGGAGTCGTCAGCAGGAAAACGCAGGCAAGCAGAGTGAAGACCTCTCCACGCACGTGGGGATGGAAGAGGCTTTACTTATATTATCATGCTGACATGAGTAGAAAAGGTAGGAAGATTGCCTATGCCCTTCCTGCTTATCCATCTCGGCCGCACATAGAAATGGTATAAGACAGTTGCGCTTAGCGCAGTGAATCGAGAACCAAGAGATCAAGCGGGGCTCGATACTACAAGGCTCAACGATCACAGACCCAGAGGTGACAGTTCTACACCCCATGACGGTGCAACGCAGAGTCAAATTTTACCAGACGTAATGCAACATACTTGGAGATGCCAAATGGGGAGTACGCAGGCAAGCCACACGAACATAGCACACCCCACTTGGTGCTTCAGCCCAAGCATTGGAAGTTGCAACTGAACACTCAGGCCCAGCGGGGCTAGCACTGGTAAAACCGCGCAGACACGAGGGTAGGCTTAGGGAATAGGTTGAGTGAACCACAAACGAAGGAGCAGGAGGACCGAGCAGTGCCCAGTACTACTACGCTCCAAGGGAGGCACACTGCAATGTGGAGTCGTCAGCAGGAAACTGCAGGCTAAGGGATCAAAAAAAATTAATTCAGGATCAAAAAAAAATTAAATTCTGTAGTAGTAGTAGTAGTAG